TTTTGCTTACCCTATTGGCAGATTATTTTGCTTGTTTTAAGAAAAAACTCACTTAATATTGGCATATTATTTCTCAAAACAAGGCAATATGTTTTACTTGTTTAGAATATTTGTCTTGATTTAGGAATTTTTAGATGTTTGGACTAGAAACAAGACAAAAAAATCTAAGCAAGAAAAGCATTTTTTGCAATGTAGTGCTGTCGCCTCACAGCAAGAAGGTCGCTGGTTCGAGCCTCGGCTTTTCTGTGTGAAGTTTGCATGTTCTCCCTGCATTCGCGTGGGTTTCCTCCGGGTGCTCTGGTTTCCCCCACAGTCCAAAGACATGCGGTACAGGTGAATTGGGTAGGCTAAATTGTTTGTAGTGTATGAGTGTGTGTGTGAATGTGTGTGTGGATGTTTCAGAGAGATGGCTGAAAGGGCATCCACTTCATAAAAACTTGCTGGATAAGTTGGCGGTTCATTCCGCTGTGGCGACCCCGGATTAATAAAGGGACTAAGCCGACAAGAAAATAAATGAAAGAATGAAAAAAATTATGTAAGTAAACAAAAACAACAATTGGGCAGCGTGGTGGCACAGTGGGTAGCGCTGTTGCCTCACAGCAAGAAGATCACTGTTTCGAGCCTCAGCTAGGCCAGTTGGTATTTCAGACTGGAGTTTATATGTTCTCCCTGTGTTCTCGTTGCTTTCCTCCGGGTGCTCCGCTTTTCCTCACAGTTCAAAGTCATGTGGCATAGGTGAATTGGGTATGGTAAATTTTCCATAGTGTAAGTGTAAATGAGAGTGTATGAATGTTTCCCAGTGATGGGTTGCAGCTGGTTGGGCATCCACTGCTTAAAACATATACAGGATAAATTGGCGGTTCATTCCGCTGTGGCGACCCCAGATTAATAAAGGGACTAAGCTGAAAAGAAATTGAATGAATGAATGAATGAATGAATGAATGAATGAATGAATGGAAAACTAAAATTGTACAATTTGAATCACTCAATACAATCTACTTTGAACTTAGGAAAGGAAATGAATCTTAGAATCTTAGATTAGTTACAATTTTTTTTTTAAATGGCAAGATGATCGTTGTGCTTTGTTAAAGATTTAGGTTTGCTCTAACCTCTGTCTATTGTTCTTCTGCTTCAGAAGAAGATGACATGAAGACACAGATCGACAAGCTGTGGCAGGAAGTCAATTCTCTAAAGGAAATGCAGGCTCTGCAAACAGGTACACAAATAACACAAGCTTTATTTTTATTTCATTGAAAAACTCCCCATGCTTACATAATTTACATAATTTATTAGTACACTGAAAATGGCAGATTATTTCAATCCAGCTCTGGGTTTTTTAGTTAAATGAATAGGACCAAATTTAGTGTTTAGGTTAGTCCAGTGGACGTGGTCACTCCAAGTACCACCAAAATGACCAATATTGAAATAAAGGAGTGTATTTGGCCAAATTAAGCAGCTACAGCACTGCACAGTTCGAGGTAGAGTCATATTCATATTTATACAATTTTTGATAAATGTTGAAATATACATTGCATGTACATATGACATATTCGTAAAACTTTTTGAAATCTAAACATTAACATGTATGTAGATTGCTAGGGAACCCGTTTTTCCCAGAGGATGTCAAGCTAACAAAACATTGCTGCACTCTGAGACAAGTTTTATTCATGGAAAAAATTAAAAAGCACTGCAGTTTTTGGGTGTTCTTTGTTTGTCTGAGATAATTAGTCTAACGAAATTATATTTCACACAAAATATGAAGCTGATCAGTCGGTTCTTGTCACGTGATTTGCAGTGCAGCATTCTGAAAAGTTAAGATTTTTTTAACTGGGTACGCCTGAAATACGTAAGCGCATCATGCTGCAGTTCTTACTCATTTTAATAGCCTGTGGGTTCATTTTTAGCAGCTGATGCACTAAAGTAAGCATTCTAAGCACAGCGCTTTAATCGTAGGTTTTAGAGAACAGCCAATGCTTATCTTACGCATCAAATAATTAAAAATGTTTTATTTTTTTCTTTTTGATTACTCTGCGTACCATTAGAAGTAAACCCGCACACCACTAGTCAGGCCCGTGCAGATACTGTCCAAAGGGCATGTGCAGGATAAATTAAAAAAAAAAAGGGGGGGGGGGTTGGGTTGGGTTGGGGGGGTTTGGGGGGGATGGTGCGCGTTCTGATCAGCGGTGATGTCGCGCGCATACTCGAGAGCGGTGTTGTCGCGCGCCTACCAAAGGGAGGGAGGGGTTGTGTCGCGGGGGCACTTTTGATCATTTTGGAAGGGCACTTTCTATCCAATACTAATCAGGCATGTGCAATGCACAGGTTGAGCCCTATGTGTGCACGTGCCTGCCACTAGTGGTACACATACCACAGTTTGAGAACCACTGGGTCCATATTTGACCTAATTTGGGTATAAATAACCCGCGTTTTCTATAGGTCTGTTTTAAACCACAATCATCAGCAGTGTGTATTCTTTTGTGGCCTGTTGTAACTAATGAAAAATTACTATGGTAACTTCAAGTCAATAGTGTATTTAAACCATGCTATAGTAAAGTGTATTGTACTGCTTATAGTATTGACAGCTCTTTGTTAATGAATGCTACAACATACTGCAATACCCCTAACCCTAACCCTAACCCTAACTATGGTGAACTGACAAACTGTAATAGATACTAGCTCTAATATATTTTAGATTTTACTACAGTAAACTGCGGCGTTTAGCAGTAAGCTGTGTTTTCACGTCATTTAATTCTCAGATTACGCCTGTTTGAGGTATTGGGAGTGGCTAACATACTTAACCACGCCCCTCCATCTGTCAGTTTTGACAACAAGCAGAAATGGTAAGGAGGAGGAGTCTGTTATGTTGTATGTAATAACTCTCCCTGAACCCTTTTCCCGCTTTTTCCGAATTGCCTAGTTTACTACATCCAATCAGCTCGCAGTTAAAAAAAACAATCCACGCCCACTTTTTTCTCTTTTAATATTCTGTTCATCACTGCGTCACAATACGAAAAAAAAAACGGCCGCATGTGGACATTCAATAGAAATGAAATTATATATTATCATAACTGTTTCCAAACCAGTTTCCATTTGTCTTCTATTCAGTTTGCTTGCGTGGCATCAAAGCCCACAGAAAGTGTTACCTGGTTTCTGATCAGGCCAAGCACTATCACGAGGCCAACGAGGACTGCATCTCTCAGGGCGGCACACTAGCCATTCCCCGGGACGTCAACGAAAACGAGGAGCTTAGAGACTACGCCAAGCGCAGCTCTCCGGCAGCCAGAGACTTCTGGATCGGCATCACAGATATCGTGAGGGAGGGCCAGTATGTGGACGTCAACAGCCTCCCTGTCTCCTTCTTCTACTGGGACCGGGCCAAGAAAGAGCCCACCGGCGGGAAGAGGGAAAGCTGTGTCGCTCTGTCACTCAGCGCTCAGGGAAAGTGGCACGACGAGGTCTGTCGCTCGCAGAAGAAATACATCTGTGAATATCTCATTCCGTGAGCTGCAACTCTCAGGCCTGTCGTTCAATTAAGCAATACGCTCCAGGAAGCCATGTTTTACGTTAATTACTGTGTTAAAACCTTGTTCTAAATTGATTGTAAACCACAGCTTCACTGTGGATGCCTATTGTATCAAATGGTTATTGCATATACTGTATTTAGCAAGGTTTAAACCTTATGTGCTTTCCGGGAAGTTTTTATCTATTCTAGGTTGATTTTTAAGTCTTACTTTGGCCACAACTTTCTGTGTGTTTCAGTAAATTGAATGACCTTTAGTGGCAAGTCTTATCTTGACACATATTTTGGGGAAATGCTTTGAAAATGTTTAAAAATTCAACAATACATTCAAATTGACTACCCTTTTGTTATGTTTGGGGCGGTTTTTGCCCCATTGACTTTCATAATAATGACATTTTTGGATTGATTGCAAATTCATGACACCATATAATTTTGTAGGAGTCCATCTATTAGCCCAATGATGAAACTAACAGCATGGGCGAAGGTTTAATGCATGTAAGCCTTTTCTAGTGCTTCTGAAAAGAATTTTATTATTTATTAGAATTTATTTATATTCGTTTTTTAGCTCCGAATTCAATCTGACTCCAATTTCAATGATCCTAAAATTTAGATTGTATTTCTAATTGTAAGAACGGATCACATTCATCATTTATGATTTAATTTAGAGTTTTGATATTTTCTGGTGTCCGATATTTTAAATTGTATGTTCATTAGGGACCTACGTCGCTCAGAGTTCCATGCAATTTCTTTCTTGATTGTTGGTGGTTTTCACTGTTGGGAAGAAGTAAAAACAGTCTTTTTTATTGTTGACCATAATTGCATTGCAAAAAAAGTTTCTGGCTTAAACTTATATGGTTATATGAAGTACACTACTACCTGACAAAAGTCTTGTCGCCTACCCATATATTAGGAACAACAAATACCTTGACCTCTAGTTGATCATTTGGTATCAGAAATGGCTTTTATGCATGGCAAAGGTCTCTAGATTGCGCTTATTATACCAAAATAAAATATGATCATGCCTTGATTTTTAATTATTTATAGGGCAAGAAGGTCTGACTTTGCTTACACAAAAACCTGACCTTCTGCCACTTTTCCAAATGATCAACTAGAAGTCAAGTTATTATTTGTTGCGCTTATAAATGGGATCGATGACAAGACTTTTGTCAGGTAGTGTATAGTTTGTATAGTGTGTGTGAGAGAGAGAAAACTTGGGCGCACTTACCTTGATATGTTTGAGTAAATAACAAAATAAGCAGCTCAGCTCTCAGAACACAGTAAACATAGTAAGTGTATTCATGCACACACACTAAAATTTGCTGTTTAACTCCATGAAAGTCGGAAACTATTTTGCACAGGCCTATCTAAAGGGTAAATGGTGCCAACTGATGATCGACTATAAAAATTAAAAGTTCTACCTTTTCCCAATAGGGAAAACCACCAACAATCAAGAATGCATGATTATATGGTGTCACGGTTTTGCAATCAATCAAAAAATGTCATTATAATGGTAGTCAATGGGGCAAAAACAGCCCCGAACATAACGAAGGTGTAGTACATTTGAACAGTACACAGGGGTTAATTAAAACAACATACAAAAGTCACAGATGTTTGTTTGTAGAGTGTTTTTACAACTTTGAATGAGACTCGACCAATCAGAATCAAGGACCGGAACTATCCATTCAGTAACATTAAACACTCAGTACTGATGAGATTTTTTTTATTCAGTGTTGTCTTCATTCAATCCAACATGTTTATTGCAGAAAAACTACAATATACTAGGACATTTTTGGATATTATGAATGAGGTTGATGATGAATAAAAAATATATGACAAAATGGGGTACTGAGTAACGTTGTATAAGTATGCATTCATCAAAAGATAAAATGTAAACAATTTTTATACTTTTAAGTGTAATGGATGCCAGTTTGCAAAGTGCTGTGCTGGTAAACCTCACTCCTCTGACCACTAAAGGTGCTTTAGTGATGGACGCAAGAGGCCATGGTCTTTAGCCTCCTTAGTAGAGCAACTGACTCCCTTGCGGAAAGTCACTGGTTAAATCCCAGCTCAGAGTGGGTTGGGTGGTGTTACATTGGTGCCTTGACACGGATGGGAGTGAGGTTGAGGGGGTGAGTGTAAAGGAGGCCAGCTAGTAAAGTGCTGTGCAGGTAAACTTAATTCTCTGACCTCTTCAGGTGCTCTAGCGACAGACGCTGAGGCCATTGTCTTTAGCCTCCTTGTTAGAGCAACCGACTCCTTTGCGAAGAGTTGCCAGTTCCATCCCAGCTTGGAGCGGGTTTTGATGGCGTAGGACCGGCGGTGTAACATAAGCTTCTAAATACATAAGACCTGAAGAGTCTCTAACAATAATTAAGAATAAATTACTGTGCTAATGTCTAGGGGGCACTCAAGCGTAATTCTTTTTTGCACAATACTGTGTATATATAACCTATGACAAAGCACAAAAAATCACATAATTAATTCAAAGCCTAATCTAAAAGTAGCTAACTGTAGTTTCACAACTATCATGCTAAGTCTCACATTACATCACAATATTATTCAGTTTGCTAACTGTCAGTTTACACTTTCAGCTGTTTTATAATGTCCACAAACAGCGAGTGTTGTCGGAATTGACGCAGATTGAAGTGAAGTCTCGCGAAAGTGCGTGGTGGCCATTTTTCCTCCATTGATTTTTTTTGCTTACAATCCAGCAAGAAAGAAAGTAACTCAAATTAAACCTGATTATGAGCCATTTAGAAAATAAATGGTTTCTCTGCTCAATAAAAAAATATATTGAAAAAGGCTAGAGAGACTGTTGTATTTCATCTAAAAACCACCTTATGACAGTATGAAAAACAAGCAATAGTAACGTACAAAATCGAAAACAAAGAAGAATCAAAAATGTATTTATGCGACACATTTATTATGAAGAATATAAACATTAAATAGAGAAAAAATAGGTGAATTAATGATTTGAATTCGACATTATAACACGAAAAAAAAGTATTTGCAATGTTGTGAAGTTCGAATTTATAACGTTTTTAAAAAAAACATCATTTTTTGTATCAAATGTGTCCAAAAAGTGTAATCACAACCTTTTAACAACGTGAAACCAACATTTTTACAACGTTTTTGTGTGATGGGATGTCGTAATATCTAAAAAACTAGCTAACTGTAGTTAGCCTACATTAAAAAGTTGTTTACGCTAATTAGTAGCTTACTTGATTTTTGGAATCTGATTAGGCTGAGAATTTTTTAAAAATAGTTATATTCTTCATTTCACTTTGAGTGTTGTGAAAGAAGTGAACACAATGAAAGCAAGCAGCACTCACGAAGGAGGCAAAGTTCACTTATAATGAAGACATTTATTCGACAGGCTAAAGAGTGACCTCAGATTAAGTTTAGTGTTTCACAACTATCACGCTAAGTCTCGCATTACATCACAATATTATTCAGTTTGTTAACTGTCAGTTTACACTTTCAGCTGTTTTATAACGTCCACAGACAGCGAATGTTGTCGGAAGTGACGCAGATTGAAGTGAAGTCTCGCGAAAGTGCGTGGCGGCCATTTTTCCTCCATTGATTGCTGTTTTTGCTTACAGTCCAGCAAGAAAGAAAGTAACGCAGATTAAGCTGGATTACGAGCCATTTAGCCTAAAAGTAGTCTCCCCGACATCGACTCGTTTCTCCTAACACGCTCAGAATGCTGTCCCAAAGCCAATCGCAGGGCTCCTGTTGTTGACAGCGGACCGCGGCTGGATGATCAGATGGAAATGGTGCCCAGCGAAGAAAAGCAGCTTGTGCCCAAAGAGGTAAGAGATGATCGACCTCAAATAACACACACTCAAATCACACCATCTCCCTATTAAAAAAATCGCAATGTAAGCTAGAGAATCGCGTTTAAACGCAGCGGAGGAGAGACTGAAAAGTGCGTGTCAGGATTGTGAGTTGAGCGGCTAGCAGAGTGTTAGCTGTAGCTCAGCTAACTATCAGTCAACAAGTCCTTACAACAGATTGAATACGTTCATAACCAATATATACCGGAGATTTATGGAATTAGTAGACCTAATAACATGTTGTCATGTGTGCTGTGATGCTGTTTACTCTCTCCTCAGCCCGCAAAGTGTCCTGCAGGAGTGAGTTTTGGGAGGTGCTAAAGTGTGCGCCATAGTTTATGTTAGCAGCTCAGATTAGACTGCTTGATTTAATCCACATCGCATCATTTACATCACAGACATAATTCAGATTAGACTCGTATGCTTTATTTGAGGAATGATGACCCCTGCTTTGATATTTGAATGATGTCAACATCGGCCGAATGTGTTTTTTGTTACTATTGTTATTATAAATGACCAAAACAAACAAACAAAAAATCTTGTACAGTTTCAGTTTCAATGCACATTCTTTTTTAACGCGGATGTGTTTTAGATCTGACGGGAATAGAGTTTATCTTCCTCATCAACACTTGCATAACAAAATAATATTTTTAGTGACATTTGAACTCAATTTTCGAGATGCGTACTCTTTTTGGTCTTTATGCTAACGGTGATTTCATTGTTGAATGCTGTTAAACATGTGATGTGTGGTAAAGTGTAAATCAATAAATCAAGATCTTTTAAAAACTATTAATGACGGTAACATTGTATTCATGCAAAAAACAACAACAAAACATTGTAGCAACTGGTTGTTTGATTGGCTGATTTAAAACAACAAATAGGTGTAATGTATACACACGCATTCGTGTAGTTGGTCAGACTTATTATACAGACCTAACCCCCTTTGATTTTTCTTTTTTAAACATTTTTCAAATGATGTTTAACAGAGCAAGGAAACTTTCACAGTATGTCTGATAATATTTTTTCTTCTAGAGAAAGTTTTATTTGTTTTATTTCGGCTAGAATAAAAGCAGTTCAAAATTATTAGCCCCTTTAAGCTATATATTGTGATGGTCTACAGAACAAAAGATCATTATACAATAACTTGCCTAATTACCCTAACCTGCCTAGTTAACATAATTAACTTTGTTAAGCCTTTAAATGTCACTTTAAGCTGTATAGAAGTGTCTTGAAAAATATATAGTCAATTATTATTTACTATCATCATGGGAAAGATAAAATAAATTAGTTATTAGAAATGAGTTATTAAACTATTATGTTTAGAAATGTGTTGAAATCTCTCTGTTAAACTGAAATTGGGGGAAAATATAAACAGGGGGGCTAATAATTCATTGGGGCTAATAATTCTGACTTCAACTGTATATTCATAACCAAAACAGTAATAAGACCATATGCAGACATACATGCTGTGACATTTATACAGTTTCTTACATGAAGTGCACAATACACCATTTTTAGAACTTTCTGTTGCGCATACACTACTGGTCAAAGTTTGGGGTCTTTTTCTTTCATGTTTTTTTTTTAAAGAAAATTATTCTGTTTATCAAGGTGGCATTCATTAAATGTAAAAAGAAACTGTTAAATATTTATTTAAAAATATTTAGATATTACTTATTGTATGAACTTTCAAATGATATTATTAGTCCTCACATTATTGCTTTTATTACTATTACCATTAATGATAATAATAATAATAATATATAATAATAATAATAATAATAACAACAACAACAACAACAATTAATATTAGAGTGATTTCTGAAGGATCATGCGACTCTGAAGACTGGAGTAATGAATAATGAATTATGAATTCTTCTTTAAAATCACTGGAATAAATGATTAAATTAAACTATAAACTACTTTTGAACAGTTATTTTATTGTGTAATAACATTTCACAATTGTACAATTTGTACTGTATTTTTGATGAAATAAGTGCAGCCTTGGTGAGCAGGAGAAACTTATTTTAAAACATTTGAAAATTCTGCTGACCCTAAACTTTTGACCGGTAGTGTGTTTGTGTGTGTGTGTGTGTGTGTGTGTGTGTGTGTGTGTGTGTGTGTGTGTGTGTGTGTGTGTGTGTGTGTGTGTGTTTTTGTGTGTGTGTGTGTGTGTGTGTGTGTGTGTGTGAAAATTTGAGAACAGTTTCCATCCAAAGGTGTGAATTTGACACAAAACTGGAATATGGCAGAAAATATTTGAAAGTAAAGAACTATTTCCATCCAATGAGGCAAAGACAATAAAATTGTGTCTTCATGATAAATTGGTGCCAAATATCAAAAATAAATATTAAAATTGGCTACAGTAGGCAGTAGGGCTGCACAATATTGGAAAAATTAGTCATGACTTGACAATTTGGCAATATTTTTTTTCTCTGCGATTATATTTTGTGATACAAATACAATTTCTCAAAGTCATTACTTTAGATGGACTGGGATGATTTTGTAGGGGAGTGAAATATCAATATATTTGTATGTAATTTATTATATACATATAATAAACAATAGAGGTGTGAACCTACTCTGGTCTCACAGTTCGGAGAGAATGACAAGCCAGGAGAATGAAAACAAAGGAAGTGACCATTTTTAAATACACAGCCGAGACATTATATTGTAATAATATATACATATAATAACGAGCCATGGTTGACCCAAGCTTAAACAAACCTTGTCGTCGTCTTGATGAACATCCACAAAACCAAGAAGAACAAAACCTGCTGTCCCCTGTTGTTGTTTTACGAGGCTGTCTTAAAGCGCGAGTGGTTTCTCTTTCTCCAGGGAGCTCAGCTGTGCTACTATATTTGAAATAACTAACTTATTGAGCTGATGATAATAATGTACGCTTGATTCTTGAAGTGCTTACCATTGGTACCCTTTTGATAGTGGAAACGCATGCCTGATAAAGGTGACCCGTACCGTACCACTACGTGGAAACGTACCGATAAAGTGATAATTTACCCAAAAAATGAAAACTTGCTCACTGTTTACTCCCCCCCCTTAAGTGGTTTCAAACATTCATGAGTTAATTTATTTCTTAATGAATTTGAACTACCTCTTTAAAATAAAAACTTTACATAATGTTCCAAAATGTACATAAAATAGGTGGATGAAAACATAGCTACAGTGATTTACATGCAAAGCCTTTTAAAACCACGATGTAAAATCATATTTTTTAGGTTTATTAGGCCTGTTTATTAGGGCTGTGCAATTAATCGAAAATCCGATTTCGATTTTGGCTTCTAACGATTATGAAAAATCATTAATCGAGATAAATGATCATTCCATTATTTACCGCCCCTTTTCCAGTTCTCCTCACTTGTTGCTCTTAAAAGTGCGAAAGACCGCATGCTTATGTGTGTGCGGCGCACAGACAGTCAGAAGCATGCGGTCTGCACTTGGTCTTATTCGTACACTGTGACGAGCAGAGCGCAGACATCTAGTCATCTTAACGTGATCGCTTAAAGGTCAAATAGGTGTCAAAACGCGGTGTTTAGTGATTATTCATATTAACCCTCATTTTGTAATAAGGATCAAAAGACACATGAAAGCGAAACCATTAAAGTAACAGCACGCAATTCTTACTGCCACCTTTTTTTAATCATTATTAATAAAACAACGAGAAAATCCCTCAGTGCTCTTGACTGAAGACTTTTGTAGCTAACGTGTTTTTCTTACAGTGAAGATGCTTAAAGTACAGTTTGTTTCATAGTTTTATTCTATTGTATTTATTTCTCTTTCCTTTGCAGGTTGGAAAATAACTGTATATATGTATACAGTTGAAATCAGAATTATAAGCCCTCCTGAATATTAGCAACCCTTTTCCCCTAATTTCTGTTTAATGGAAAGAAGATTTTTTTTTCAATATATTTAAACATAATTATCGTTTTAATTACTCATTTCTAATAACTGATTTATTTTATCTTTGCTATGATGACAGCACATAATATTGGACTAGATATTTTTTAAATACAAGCATTCACATTTAAAGTGTGATTCAAAGGCTTAATTAGGGTAATTAGGCAGTTCATTGTATAACAGTAGTTTGTTCTGCAGACATTAAAAAATATATATTGCCTAAAAGGGCTTATAATATTGACCTTAAAAGAGGTTTCAAAATATTTAAATCTGCTTTTATTCTAGCCAAAACAAAATAAATAAGCAAAGAAAAAAATATTATAGGAAATACTGTTAAAATTCCTTGTTCTGTTAAACACAATTTGGGAAATATTTCTTTAAAAAAAATGCTAATAGTGTGCTAATAATTTTTACTACAACTAATAATCGTTTGGAATAATCTAGATTACAATTATGATCAAAATAATTGTGATTATGATTTTTCCCAAAATCGAGTAGCCCTACTGTTTATGTTGTTATTGTTGGTGCTGTGAGTTCACCGGTGAGCGTCAGGGGTTCAGACTAAATTTATAATGGTATTAATCCGTTCAAATGGACAATATAAAAAGTCATTTTGAATTTAGCCAGAAATAAATGATTGTTTTTGATCCCATTTGATCTTACAAGTTGTTCTGCGGGACTGCTAATGGTGACTGTCTAGTGCCAAAGTGTAAGAGCTCCTTTGGTCAATCTGCTTTCTCTGTAAAGGGATTCAAACAGTGGAATGATTTACCTTTTAGCCTAAAATCAGAAAGTAATATAAATATGTTTAGTAGTGTTCTTAAAAAGTGGTTAACAAAACAGCAGTGTTTGCACAAATAGTGTAATGTTAGTTTGTTGAATCATGTTGCCTTTGCTTTTGCCTTCAGTAATTATATGTAAATAATTATAATGTTGTGTAAATGTATTTATTAGGGATGAAACATTACAGCTAGCCCACGGTTCAATATATACCTCGGTTTTTTAACATGGTGTTTGGTTCGGTTCTCATGGCTTGACACATGTTTTTTTATTTATTCTATAGG